GGAATGTCCGGTGGGTGGCGGCCACGTGTCACCCTGTCACTGATGAGCGGACGCTTTTCGACTTCGTCCCACGACGTCAAAATATCGAGAGACCCTTCCACTTCTGCTGGGTGTTGCTGCTTTAATTACCTCTTGCGCTGACTGTTACTCGTTCACTTTCAGACATTCCTCTGTGGGTGTATTATTGTTTGTTTACTACTAGTAGATTTATATTTGATTGGAATCTGTCCTGGTTCGTGCATTCTTACGTTTAGCTCCTTAATCTTTTGAGACGAAGTATTTTCTCGGTTTACGTGTTGCGACAAATTCCAATATTTGTAATTTCAATTGTTTAAGATAAAATTATTGTAAATTATAATCATCGTAGTATCATTCGTACTATTAATCACAGCATTTTCACGAATTTTTAACTGAAATTTATCAAGTTAATTCGGTTTCATTTCAAGGGTCAAGAGCGAAAAGTTAATAAATGGAAATGAAACACGATTCCCATTCTGCATTTTATTTCATCTAATATAAAAGGGAAAAAGATAGGGAATAGTAATAGAACGTGAAAGAAAAAGAAGAAGAAGAAGAAGAAGAAGAAGAAGAAGAAGAAGAAGAAGAAGAAGAAAAAGGGAAGAAAAGAGAAAGCTGAAGCGGTGTATGAGAAGGAAGAAAACGCAGACAGTAGTTTCTCTACCCACGCGAGATGATAAGCAAAAGCTCTCTCCAATCCTCTCAAAGCTTTTTCAAATTGCGAAAGTCGAATCTTTCGAATCGCAACCTTTGATCCCACGAGGAGCGAATAAGAGAGCGCAGGAGAGTAGGGAGGAAGATATAGTGGCATAGGAAGAGGGATGGGGAAGAAAGAGAGAAAAGTGAACTCAGCCGGATGGAGACTTTGTTGTTAAAAGCCACTGCTTTACATTTTCTTTTGGCCAGTTTTGCCGCTCTCACCACGGGAAAGAGCTTATCCGCGAAATGGTAGGTCAACTATAGAGTATCACTGTGCAGCAGAACTTTTGCATGTTTAAAGTTGCTGTTCGGGAGTAAGAGTCAGCAGGAGATAAAGCTAAGGAAAATAAGGAAAATGAAAAAGACGGAGAGTGCGGTGGCGAATCCACTCGGACATGAATTCGAAATGTGATTCGAAGTAGGCGGCTCTCGAGGGGCTTGCGAATTGCCTGGCACTGCAGCGGTCAGCGAAGAAGGGCTCGAGCGATGTAGAGTAGCCGAGGCTTCGCGTGCACCGCGTTCATCCCTCGTCTCGCTTGAGAATTTATGCTCGTTGTCCCTACGACCATCCTAACTAGTCCACCCACTTACTTACCTCTTGCTGCCCCCGCCCTCTAGCTCGGGCAATCGAAGGCAAGGGGAAAGCGGCTTCCTTGAAATATCACCTCACGAACCGCGAGGCCTTTATCTACTTGTCACCGCTGCGCTTGCTTTCTTTTATCTCCCCCCCCCCGACTTGAAGAACTGTAACTGGGAGCCTAGCCGGGATCCAGCGTTAACACGTGTTTGCATTTTCTTACTTGTACACGCGTAATCCTTCATGTGGGCTTGGAAAGCCCGGCTTTGCCACTCTTCGATAACCTAAAGTTGTGCAATTTTTTAGCCAACCTCAGCCTTATCACAGATAATCCAATGCCGTGGATCTAAGAAACACTTGTGTCCATTATTCAACGAAAATACAGCAATCTTCAGTTACAACTGTTCATATCGTTAGATTCATAGTTATAAACACATATTTAATTGTAACTTCATAATTACTCTAAGTGATGTGTGATAAGTTTCAACAAAAACAATTGTTATATTACTATACATTATATCTTGATTGGTGCACCACTCTCCTTTTGTGCTTTTCAAGTATCTATAATCCAAAAACATGCTTTATATCCATAAAGACATGCATATTGATACTAAATATATGAAAATGAGTATGTACTCAAGTTCATTGTAGTAATTACGTCAAGATGCATTTAAAAACCATGAAAACTATTTTTCAATAAATGATAATTCCAATTACTAAATTATTTATTGCTCGATTTCATTTAAATAGATAATTGTTGACTTTGATACATTTACATAAATTATATACAATTTTAATTCCCAGGAAAATGAAGTTTGTTTCGTGAAAGCCGTATTGAAAGACCCATTGCGGTATAATATTAATAGAAAGAAAGTTATACCGCGTAACGGTCCTCTGTGCAAAAATTAAATTGAAATTCATTTTAATGGTGTATAGAGAATTTTCCGTACAATATAAATCGACATTACGAGATGCTTCGATGAAATAGAATATCTTTCAGTAAAATATCCACGAACCATCATTATATTTCATTTTACTAAATTGCCGTGGATGATAATTTTTTTGACGATAAATTTGAAAATTATGAAAATATATGGTTGCAGATTCTTTGACCTAAGGCTCTGTTTATTCCATCCAATCCTATCCTTGCACAAATCTATTGTGAATCGCACACGATCCTGGCAATGCCGCGAGATTGTCGGATCTTGATAACTTTACGAATTTTATGCTCTATTTGCGCGCACTGATAATGATCGATAA